CTAGAACGTCTCACGTGCTCGTGCTCGACAATACTTAGTTCAATTACTCACTACCTACACATATTATCTCGTCACGTTGTGACCATCTTATATATACCAGACTACCCCCAATCTAGTAAATGCTTGGGCATTCACGAAGGTTCGAGAGAAGTGGCGTGATACTAGTCACGTGACCTCGTTGACGCAACAATATATTTACTTTTTCTTTTCCATTTCAAACTACAGATAATAAGGTTTTCATTGTGGGAGGTATGAACAGCACTGATCAAGTAGCCCTCACAAGCACTGATATATATGATATTGAGTCTGGAAAAATGTTTAAAGGACCGGATCTTCCTGTTCCTTTGACTGGAACTGGAGTCATTGGAATACCATCAGAATGCTTCTCAAAAGATAATAGAATTTGGGTAAGTACAAAAAGCTTTCTAGTGCTTACAAATATCATAATGTTTAAATTGTTTTTTCACTGTAAATTTATCATATCAAATTTTACCTACTTTTAAGTATTTTGTTCACTGTGAAATTTCAGTAGTATATGAACCACACCAGACTTCTAAATTTTATGAATTTTTTACATCCAGTATTACTGAAATGAGTTCAGTGATCAGATGATTATGTTTACTTTAGTGATAATATGATACATTGATCTATAAATTGAAAATAGATACTTTTATGACATGGCATAATGACTATAGTTAACTGTGTAATGGACTAAAACAAAATGCTGCTACAACCAGGGTCAAACAAAAAAAAGAATTATTAAACTGTAACAGCAACAAATACAAGATGAAACTTTAAAACAGTTAGAATACAAATTTCATCACTTACAAAAAAAACAAAAACAATTAGTAAGTCAATGATACAAATTTTAATAAACAATACAACATAAATATCAATGTTATTAATTTCAATAAATAAAGGAACTAGGAAAAAGACCAAGAAGAAGAAGAAAAAAAAACAATTAGAAAAAACAATATTCCGAAATTAAAGCACTTTAAGATCAATAACAATACTGAGTAACATTCAGCAATAATTGTTCTCGCTATATCTCGTGAACTAACCCATTTAAGACCAAAGAAGGGTTTTTATTTAATGGTTAGACCATGAGGTTACATCCCATGCAACTTGATAATTTACATAATCTTTCACAACATTAATATCTGTATGTCACTGCTAGAGAAAAGCTTTTGTCAGTTTCATAATACAAAAATACTCAATACATGTATTGTTAAAGAAATTTGATCATATAATACAAAAACTGAAGTACTGTTACGTAAGTATATACATAAATATTCTTGTAAAATTGAGAAAATGTACTGACTATTATAAAATTAGATGTATTTAACATTCATTATGTAAAACACATAACATCACATACAAGGCTGTGGGATTACAAAAAAAAACCAGTATATCTGTATTTAGATATGTGTATATGTTTTAATAAAAACAAAACAAATTTTTATGTTTGTCTGAATCAAACCAAGTTATTATAAAGCTATGGAATATATTAGGTTAAGTTAAGGACAATTTATGTTTAGACCTTCAAATTTCCTATCCATAAAATCCTTGACTTTTGAAAACACTTGAATGTTCAGAAAATTTTCTGGGATCCTAGAATGTTTTTCTGGCATTTTTATTTACTTTCTGGTTGAACAAGTCACTCACATACTTTCTTTTCTGTTTCACCTATACAAATGTGTAGGCAAATGCTTATTTAAAAATACATATATTGAATATTATAAAATCAAGAGCACATTATATAGAGATTTAGACATTCTTGTGCTTGCCTCACTGACATTAGATCATGTGAGACAAATTCATTGGTCACATAATACATATGTTCTCTTTTCTTTAAATGTGTATGTCAGTAACAACAATTTTCACGATGTATGGGCATATAATTTTGGTAAAGTCTGAAAGCCAAAATGACAAGTAAAAAATAAAATCTTAGAAGTTATATAGTAGGTGTTCTTATTATCATAATTATTTGTACTTTTTAAGCACCCCTTTTGATTTACAATTTCCAACATCATTTGCTCTTACATGTGCTACAAAAAAAGAATGTTTCTTTGTACCATCAGATAAACTTGTACTCTTTAATGTCATGCACCTTAGAACCTGAGATGTAAATTCTAGCCCTAGTTTTTCTGTTTTTCACTAGAAATAACTTCATCAGTATATTTAACGAGAGAATCCTCCACTATGCAAGTCTCTTGATCATTTTGTTAGTCATTAAATGGGTTCAAATCAATTAGACTGGTACTTGAATGTCTTTATAAGCACTCACTCTTTTTAATTTACTACTGTGCACTCTTATAAACCCAGCACTCATTCTCATCCCCTTCCAGAACAAACTTTACTCTAACTCTATTCAATTCCTGCCTTGCTTCCTCAATTTCTACTGTTCCCCCCTTTCAGAATGCAGTTTTCTCCAAAACTATACTTAACTTTTCCTTAAGAGAAAATAATTTGAGAGATTTCAGCCTCTCTTGTATAACAATCCCTCCATCCCAGTAACCCTTCTCTGAACCCTTTCCAGCAATTCAATGTCTTTCCAAAGGTAAGAAGCCCAAGACTGAACACGATACTCCAAATGTGGTCTAACCACAGAACTGTACAATGAAATTATAACCTCTTTACAATTGTATTCAATATCATTAAAGTAAATAAGAGAAGGCAAAAGCCCTAGTACTGATCCCCAAGATACATAACTAGTAAAAAGTATCCAGTTTGTCTGGACTCCTATAGTAACAATGTTTACTTTCTCTCTCTCTTTTCTTCCCTTTTAATTGATTTAACTAGTCTTTCAGCAACCACCACCAATGATTTTTTAGCTATCCACCTGGGGTATCTTTTACAAGAAGTTTTTGGAAAATCTAAGTCACCAAGGTTGCACTCTTTCTATCATCAAGATAACACGTAAGAGCCTGTGAAAAAGTTTAACAAATTCATATGACAAGCTAACCCTTCGGTGAATACATGCTGGCTTTATTTTATGACATTATATAGTACTAAGTGGTTCTATAAATCTTTTAGTTACCAGACTTATCTCTAGAAGTTTCCAACTACAGAAAAAAGAAATTGGCCTCCTATTTCCAGGAAGAGTCTTACCACCTCAAAAATAGATGTAATAATAGCAATTCTTTAATCCTCAGGCATCTACTCACTGTCTGTTAATCTATATGTGCCAAAAATGAAAGAGCCTTGTAAGTGTGATCTTAGTCTTTAAAATTAATCAAATTACTTACAAAGTGTATCATTAAGCTTGTACTTACTCAGTCTATGTCTAGAAAGTGGTGAAAGAGGTAAAATATTGTATTTTACTGTCTGATGTTGAATCACCTGAAAAAATACAAGAGATATAAACAGCTGAATATTTATACATTATGAACTATTAAGAAGCCTACTTTTATTTTTATAATTTCTTGGAGAAATAAGAGATAATAAAAAAAAAGAGAAAAAAAAGATATAATTCACATTAGTTAATTGTAAAATTATATCACCATGCATTTCCTATTACATTTGGATATCAAGGTTGGTAAAGTTATTTTTTTTGTAAGGGAAGTGTTAAAATTTGCCCTGAAAATTAAAGAGCAGTTAGTGTTACTACTGTAGCAGAAAAAATTGTCGGGTCTGACAAAAGAAGCTTTACAAAATCATTTATGAAATATGATATATTAAATAAAACCAATTTCATTCACCAAAGGGTACATCTTGTCTCGCTTATCTCTCTATTTGAGGATATTACTTATCAGCATGATGGAAAAGTTCTGGGTTTGATGTACTGAGATTTTCAAAATGCTTTTGTTAAGCATAAGGTACTACACAGTAGATTAGCTAAGGCAATTCACACTGATAATGATTGGGAAAAAGAGTAGTCAGAATCTTAGGATAGCTGTGTGATAGAAAACAAAAGGTTATGTTGGGCCTTTGTCTTTTCTTATTTAGATTGATATTATTAATGATGATAATAGAGGCATAATTAGTAAATTACTAATTTGCCAGTGACATTAAACTCTTGAGTATTTAACTGTATTGAAGATGACGAGGTACTGCAGTACGACTTAGCTCAACTGGCAAATTGGACAAATAGCCTTTAATTATAGTAAATGTAAGATACTACATTTTAGTTCTCATAATTTGGCTCAAATGCTTAAAACAGTCTGGAGCCTATACAAAATTTAGAAACACTTAATAATAATAAAAAAAAATCTTGCATTGTGATATATAAGCCAGTTAACTCTTTCAGCATGGGCTCGGTCCCTGGGACCAACCTCGTAACCATTTTGTGCTTGTTATAGTTTTCATGCTA